TTATTTCCACTCATCACATCAAAAAGTGTGTTTGAAAGTTAAGTTTTAGGTAATGACTCTGGTTTAAAAAACATTTCTTAAGCGCCTAATTATTTAGTGTTATAGTAACATTTTCCTTTTGCTATTTCTGTAACATGGTTGATTATGAGTATCTAAAATTTAGTATTTCAGTACTGAGTCCTGGCTAGTATTACCTTATTCTACACCAAAACGGGTAAAATCTTGGATCGGCACATTAAGAATGCAAGTGCAAACACACGGGCTGCTTGTCTAGAGGGGCAGGGGGTGCCCCAGGGGTCTGGAAGCTGTCACTGAGTGAAGGACGGCTCAGCAGCCCTCAGAAGAAGAAAGGTTTTCCGAGCAGCGGAGCCTCAGTGCAGGTCCTCAGAGACACGTACACACCTGTGCAGCTCAGTGTGAAGGTGGTACCTAAAATTATGAGTGACATGACTCCAGCACACAGTCTCACACATAAAAGGCCCTCGATAAATATTTGATTAATACGCGACACAAATAGAAAGCGATCCCGAGATAGTCAAATAGCACGAAAGGAAAACTGGGGTGGCTTACAATTAGGACAGGGACTTAAAATGAAAAGGAGCCAGGGCAAGGGAGCAGATGCCCCGAGACGCTGGGAGATGACAAACCAGCTTCGGGGCTCAGCCTGCGGCACCTGGGACGTGGTTCAGGGGCCGCAGCCTCTGCTCTTAGCTCGGGGAGCGTCCAGGGAGCCAGAGGCAGCCAGGCCCCGTCCTGTCTCCCACCGTCCGCAGTGAGAAGGGCCCAGAGGGGCTTCCAGTCGGTCACCCTGCAAACTTTCCCTGCCTTCTTCCCTCTTTCAAAAAACTGGGATAACCCTTGTTAGCAAAACTCGGGTGGAGATTAGTCAGTGGATAGGAGGCGCCCAGGAAGCAGGGCCTCTGGCCCAGGCCGCGCTCAGTAGATGGACCTGATGCCCGTCCAGGCAGCTGCCTCGCTGCCCCCCAGCTTCCTCACCTGAACCCCACGCACTGCCACCGAGACCCAGGGGCACAGGCTAAGCTCCCGTGACAAGTGCCCTTTGAAAAGCGTAACTTCCGCGCACAGAACAGGGCATTGCTATGGTTGGAGGTGAAGGGGAGAGGCCCCGGGGTCTGAAGCCTCTGGGGTTCGCGACAACCTGAAGGGCTCGCTCCCCTGGGAATATAAACTAGCGACGCGTTCTCGCTTGGGGACACTGAACAGCAACCACAGGCGCTTAAGCTGAAACTTCCTAAGGAGCTTTAGTTTGGAATCGACCTTCCCGGGACACCTCCACCCACGCTGCGCCTTCTGATAAAATCGTCCGACTCACTCGGGGACATACCCACCCTGAGGTCCTAACTGGGCCGAGGGCGGCCCGCGGGTGGGGAGAGCGGGTCTCTCCGGAGGGTGCGGCAGGTGCGTTTGTTCAGTGACTGGCCGCAGAGGTGAGTAAGGCGAATGCGTGTTTCAACCC